GTATAAAGTGATTAATTTTGAGAGTAATAAATGAAATAATAATGAATTGCTCACCCGTGGGTTGCTCCGCCGTCGCCCGATGCCTCCCCGGACCTTCCCCTCCTCTCTTGATTCTCCGTTTCTCCGTTGTTATTTTGTGTCACTCACACTCATTCATGAAAACACAGAACAGATTTATTAATTACGATCATCACGAGATAGTCGCACAATTATACTTTGCACAGTATTTTCGATGTCAATAAGCATGCACTTTATTATATCGAAAAAAATAACGTAACAAAGAGATGACAACATCAAGCTACGATTTGCTCTCGACAACAATGTTTCCTAAACGAACAGCCAGTTAAATATTTCGTAGCGACGAAACTGCAACGAACGAATGAACGAGAGTTTTAATAAATAATTTAACGCTAAATGATGACCGAATTTATGCCACGCGATTGATAAATGTTAAAATACCGGAGTTAAATTACATTAGCACTCGCTAATCAAACGCGTCGCGATGTTACTTGATTCGGTGTCGGTCCGTTTTCGTTTCGCTATTAGTAACCGAGAAATTCGTCACCTTGATATTGCGCGATACGGCGCGATCGATAAAACCGAGATAACGATTAATTGAGACATGACAGATCGAAACTCAAACCGCATAAATTCCACGAGATACATGTATTATTAATATACAGTTGATATAATACGGTTTTCCGTTACGTTTAAATCACACGCGCGAGCCGGTGATTTGCGTGTCACTCCGCACACCGGACACAGTGATTTCCGTCTCAAAATGCAATTACGTTTAATTGCGAAAATTAGAATTGCGCAACGAGAGATGTATTCGAAGTGTCGCGGGAGAGACAATTATCGCCTATAATAAATATCGCGAAACGATAATTCATAGTTTCGAATCCTCGTTTGCTGTCGCAAGTGAATGAATCGCTTTATCGTGGGCTAATAATCTCTATTTGTTCGCGGTTTCTTCTTGCACCTATCGCGATTGCGTTTCGAGAGGTAATGATGCGACACGCGAAACGGCTCGCGTCGCGCGAAAATATGACGACACGATGCGCGGCCGGTCTTGCTACAATGCGCGTATGTACCAAACAAACACTATAAGGTCAGCTGATACCGTTACTACAAAATATTCATCGAACCTTGAAATAATTATTAGCGAATATTTTATTCTTTTTCAGAAATTTTTCAGATCAATAATCGACATGATATAGCCTCTTGCTATTCGAATCGCGACTCGAGCTGAATAAGGGAATATGCAAATTAGATCGGCGAAAAGTTCAATAAAGCGCGACGTGAGTTATATTCGTGTGTAGACGTCTTCAAGGAATTCGTCGCCCGTAAGTTTCACAGTGAAACAATTTGTATAATTCCGAATCTCTATTGCTACGGTTTCTATTTTAAATGAGTAAATCGCGTGCGACGTTTGCTTACAATTAGATAACCGTCTTGTCGACACAGTTGTCAGACGTAATTAATTAATCGCGCAAGTTGATTATTTAATTTGTATTCACGTTGTAGTTATTTCCAAGGAATAATCGCGTTTCGAGAGATATAATAATGTGACGACGCGCGGAGCGAGTTGCGTCGCTGGCTGCCGGCTCGAGTATCGCCGTGCGAATGACACAAGCAAGCCGTGCGGTGTCAGCGATGTGAAGGACGTGTGCCGGGCAATCTGTTAACTACAAAATATTTAACGTTCTGATTTAAATATCGAGCAAATATTCTGTCCCTTGCCTTTCCGACGCATAGACTGTCGCGTATTAAATTTAACACGTTTATTTAAAAAGTCTGATTCAGTTTGATTGTAAAATTATTTATGTAAATTATTATTGTAAAGTATTATGTAAATTATTCATTGTTATTACTATTTAACAAATTTTTACGAAAAGATTGATATTGCGAGACGTTAACAAACAAAGAATTTTTTTTACGATTTTAATAAAAAGCGAGAGAATGAAATAACGTCGCCGTGGAAAATGTAACGACGCATCTGTTTCCCTGGCTTATTAAAGTCACGCAATTTCATTATTCTCGTGACATAAAAGTTTGACAAAAAGTAATAATAATAAATTACAATCTCTATTTCTCGCATAAAATAAATAAAATTTCTTTCTTGTATTCAAATTTAACCATAGAATACATTACATGATTATTTTGAAGTGGAATAATTATTCCCCGTTATTTAAATTTTTATTACAAAAAGTATTAAATAATTTGCAAGTAAAAGAGTTAAAATTTGTTATTAATAATCACATTAATATCAGCTAATTATTATGTATGTAATACTTATTATACATAAGATACCAAAAGTCGAGCAATAAAAAACCGATATCACTTGAGCTGTAAAGATCAATAACAGATCGGCACGTGTGCAAACTCTCAGTTAGGAGCTTCGACGTGTGTATTCTACCTAGCGATATTCTTTTATCAACTTTCACAACAAAAAAAATTGTTAGCTTAACATCTATGTATTAGTATTTTTGATTAATTAATCTTTAGAATGTATTATTAAATTATTGTACACGACATAATGTATAATATGTTTGCTCTTTAATTTTTATTTTTAACGTTAGAATCGCACATCTATTTTTACCCTTTTTTAAGCCTCTTCGAGACCTTGATTTTCCTTTGTTTTTTTTTTAATAATAGAGACATCGAAATGAGGCCTCTCGGTATATGAATTTCGACGGAAGTACAGTTTTGACGATCATTTTTTAAACATTTTCTCGCTCGCGCGAGCATGCGAGGCGGTGCGGCATGAATTACACGTGAGTTTCTCACGCGCGGCGCGGTTTAAACGGCGCGGCGGCGAGCAACGAACGGCGAATAATTTGCCGCGTCCAGTTTTCAGCGAACGGTAATGTTCGGCGCACGCGGAATCGCGAATTCCCCGGGCAACGATATGACGGCAGTCAAATGATTCACGCGTTTCCGCGGGAATCTATTATCGCCGGTAGTATCGGTCGTCTGGCGTTTTTACGACGTGCGTGCCCGCGCGTCCGTGTAGATACGGGCGTGTTGCAACGCGAACGAAGGCGCCCGATACACATTTTTATATACGCAAGCAGTAATGCCTATAATTTGTACGTTTGCTTAGTGTAGTTACCGGCGGCGAGCGTAACAGTATCTCGAGGTGAGCACTCAAAGGGGGGAGGCAGCGACTCGCCGGATATAATCGTTTCGTATATCATTACGCTTGTAATCCCAGGTGGAACAGAAAGTCACAATGAAGTCAAAATGACGTCAAAATGATGATAAAATGACCAAAAATCGTCATTTTTGCCGTCATTTTGACACAATTTTGACTTTATTGTAACTTATTGCTGTTCTACTTGGGATATGTCATCTGCACTTTTATATTTCTAACGAAGGATGTGCTCGGGGAAAGAAGATCACGAGCGTTACCGTACGGCAATTACTCGCTTGTAACTCGCGGAACGTTTAACTTTATCGTCTGGTTACGGAATTTCAACGCGATTATATCGGTACGCCGAACATCGAAGATCACAATCCACGTTTATCGGTTTTATATCCTGAATGGAGATATCGTGACGGATAACGGCTTTCTCTTTGCTCCAGTTGAGTAGAACTGCAGTCTAACTCGAGAAGAGCGACGTCTCGAGATACGGGGTGTACCGAAAATCGTTAGTGCTTCTTTTCTCTCAGCTCATAACTTTTTCCATAAATTTTGAATTAATCTTTGTCTAGTGAATATTCGATCGAGACGTTGTCACAACTTTTCACGACTTTTAAGAAGTTAAATATTCATATAATTGAGCTTTAATCCTTAAATGCGCAATTTTTCATAGCATTCAGAATATTTTTTAAATAATGACTGCTTAAGAAATCCTAAAAAAATATTTAAAAAATTCTTCTTTACTTTGAATCCTTTTTTAACGTTTTTGTCCTAGCGGACAACCGATGGAGTACGTACAGAGAAGGCTCTTTACAGATGTGCAAAGCCGTGCGTTTTCAGTTCGACCTTCACAAGGGAAAGTACACGGAGCATCGAAAAGTCGTTTTGCATATATGCAAAGCTGCGCACTTAATCAAAAGTTAAATCAAAATTATACGGAGGCAAAATAGAATTTAAGCAAATAAAGCTTCTGAAAGAAATATAAAAGTTTTATAAGCGTATTTCGAACTTTTGTAATTAAAAAAAGATATTAGCAAATTGACGTAACACAAAAAAATCGACGTCTCTATATTACTTCTGTTATAGTATTTGTAGTTCAAAGAGAATGCGCGATTCTGGTACACCTTGTATGGAGAATGAGACGTGTGTTATGGTGGTCAAACTATACCTACGTGTATGTACAGTCCCACGTGAATCGAGCGATCCGTCTAAACAATGACGTAGCTGAGATATACGAAGGAAAACTCACGTTCTCTGGAAGTCGTTCGTGGGAATGTGGATAGTCGAGTTGTTTCCTCATGCTTGTCAGATGATACCTGAGAAAACAATGATACCGATCTTTATAGTACATATCTATTATACATGCAATGTCGCATTTGTTATTAGAACTCGTTACAGCATCAATTAGGCTAATTGCGAAATTGATGTGATGCCGCATCTTACGTTACAATAAAATCCATAGTCATTATACAATTATTACGGAGTTATGGCTGCTAATTTAGGCCGTAAAAGGATCACTAAGACGCGATGACTGCTAGGTTTATTCTTGAAGAATATCGTGGCGTTGCATCACATTGCGATACATATGTGTGTATATACATCATCGTGTGTTTTATAAAAAGGAATTTTCTGTAGCAAAGGAACGAAAGCGCGCAAACTCATTAATTTTGTCGCTAAATCTTTTAATACGTAACATTCTTTCTTGTTTAATTAAAGGTATCTGCAATTAATCACATTAATTAATCTCTCGCATCATTATATTTTGATAATATTATTACAATGATCTTTCGCGTATTATGTTTTCAATTTTTTTTAAGTTGACCAAACCAGTCAATTTTTTGGGAAATCGCTTTAACATCCTTTCATTGTAGATGCTGCCAAAACTGATACTCCTGCTCTGGACGGCAATTCCGATTGCGTTGTCCCAGAGCAATTATGCGTCGCAAGGCAACAGCATCGAGTATCAGCCAGGACTGCCGCCGAGCACAGTCCTCGACGGCAAAGTCACCAAGCTGGACGACATTTCGCCAATTATATTTCTAAATCGAACGAAAGCCTATCTGAATTGCGGCCAGGGTAGCATGGAAGTCGAGCTCAAGTTTGAGGAACCGTTTTACGGGGTGGCTTATGCCGACTTCGATCGCAACAGCGCTTGCATATTCAAAGGACGGGGCGCGACGACCGCCAAATTGGAACTACCTCTGAAAGGTACGTATTAAATTTAAGCTCGCAGCACGGGAAACATAAAAAAATTTATTATTCTCGAATATATATTATTGCTCAATTAAAAAGAAAAATAATATAGTAAGTCATAGATACACAATAATAAAACTATTCTAGATCCAGGTATTAAATGATTTTACAGAACGTATATATATGTATATAATGTGTAACTTTCATTTAACACAAACAAGATGATATCCGAATTTGAAAATGATTTAATTTTTAAAAATAATTTTTGGTTATTCTATTTCTACACATTATCTGTTTCGCATATAATTGTATGATCATTTTAGTTATTGTTTAAAGCGTTCTTATTTTTACAGAACGGATTCATCTTCTTATCACACGAAAATAATCTATATTTCAGGATGCGGTACAAAGCAAGATCCTTTACGCGTGTTCACCAATAATGTGGTGGTTCGCTTTCATCCCGGATTAGAAATGGACGGGGACGAGGTTATCACTATAGTTTGCAGATATCCACCACCCGTGGCACCGGCGCCTCCTAAGCCGCCAGAGAGCATGTAAGAATCCTTTGTTGAAATTCTTATCCCGAGAAAGTGTTTCATCAGGTATCATGCAGGTTTCATGCAAAAACCGACGGTAAAATACGTTAGAATATTTATTTACTGGAAATATCGATTATTTAATTTAACGTTTCGAATAAATGTTACTAAAATAGATATTAAACGATATTGAATTTATGACTGAGCGCGGTTCTTTTTCGAAGGCTATACTTTTTAAAAGATCTCAATGTAATTCTTTTGCACGTGCTGTATCTCGCAACTAATGATATAATTTGATAAAAAACGAGTCCATAGCGATCAATAGCGAGATATATGTACAATAGGATATCCTTTCTGCTAAGAAAATCTTCAATTATTATCGTCATATGACATATTGACAATTACCATTACCATCGCGAAAAGTCATGTTTAATATGTGTGACGTGGTATTGTTAATATTGAATGAAACATAAATTACATAAGTCTCTCTTTCCACTGCCTAATCTTTTAAGCATCCGCGAGAAATGCGCACTCAATATTGCTGCGTTTGCCTTCTCGCCGCGTTGAAGCCGAATAAAGGAGTATAAACGCTCCGTATTCAGAATATGGCACGACGATACACGCCTTTGTTTCTCGCAATCCGATACGCCTGCGGATAGGTGCGAGATATCCGCCCCGTGCACTATATTAACTGCAGCGTCTAATGTCGACGTTGCTTCCCTCGCCCGGGGTCGCGTGCATCAAGCTCTAATCTGATTTTCGTCCGCAGAATGGCCACGATAACGCCCGCGTCGGTGACCGAACCGCCGCTGAAAGGCTTCCAGATTCTGCTCATCATCTGCGCCATCCTGTTCCTCTCGTTGCTCCTGCTCGGTCTCGGCTGTTCCTACATGTGCCTGAAACGCCGAAACGTGCGCGTGGTCCATCGACATCCGTTTGAAAGCGCCACCGGCTCCGAGATAACGAAACTCTCCGGCTCGTCTCTGAGCAATATCACGATGTTCGAGGGTCTGAAGATACCACGCGCGCACGCCCTTCTTCACGCGGCCGTGTCCACTTCCGGTAGCGAGGCAAATCTGGTGATCGATCATTCGGACACATTGCCGAGCGACTATCCAAGCGAGAGCCACTCCGAGGTGAGTCCCGATAATTGTTCACCAAGACGGATGATTGTAGAGTTTATTAAAACAACATGGAAACAGAGCATTGCTCGTACTTTTTTCATTAACGAACTACATGTATAAAATTCTTAAAGTATTTTCATCGTGAAGCTCAATTTTACCGCTATACAAATTATTAAAATTCTTTTGAACATATTATCGAAATTTGTTGGAATAAATTATTCAATGTCTATGTATTGTTTATACTTCTACATGAAGAAACTATAAAAGACATTTCCTGAATATTCTTTTAATAAATACCAAATAAAAAGAGACAGTCACGATACGATACATTACGATCTGTTTGATCGTCTCTTTTTATAGGTGGACGAGGAACGTTCGTTGCCTGTATCTTCCGCCGGATCCTACGACAACAAAGCGTTTGTGGACCATCATGAAGTCCAGCGTCAAGTGGAAATGCGTACTTCGAGCTCCTTATATTCGGAGACAGTTGCCGCCGAAGTGGAGACTTCCTCGATGACGGCCGCGAACGCCTCGAGGATCGTAGTGCCGCGACACCCCGTGGCCATTCCGATCGAGCCCAAGTTCGACGTGCAGATGAGAGTTAAGAGAGCGCCGCCGCCGCCGAGCCCGTTGCCGTCGGAATCCGACGTTGCGAGCATCGCCCTCGAGAGAAATCTGACGACCATTCTGGAGAGAGAGGAGACCAGTCGCTCGCTGGAGAGCTCACCCTACCGAATGACGACCTTCTCCTATGTACCCGAGCTTCACGGACCACCGGGAGGTGCGTCATCGATCTCGACCATCTCTCGGCAGCAGACGCCGCCGGTCTACTCCAGGATTTTACGCAAGCAAGCAGAGAGGGAGACCACCGTGATCCAGGAGAAACTCCCGTCGCCGACAACCGAACAATTGCCGCATCACGAGATCCGTCGGCCGAGGTCCCTGACTTCGTTGAACACCGAACTCACCGAGACTCGCTCGTTGACCGAGGTGACGGACGCTTCGCACGCCAAGTACCGAGTGGCGAGCATCCTAGCACCGACCCCACCGCCGCCGCCACCGATCGCGCCCACCACGTCCACTACCACGACTCACACCGCCGTTCAACACCGTGAGCATCGTCTCTTGCGCGAAGAAATGACCGAACCGCTGGTGGAGCCGCAAGTAGTCGCGCCTCGTCGCCCGGAGATTACGACTCACGAGGTGGACGACGTGTTCCTGCGTACCGTTACGGAGAAGAAGACGATCGAAGACGTGGAACGTCACAGTCGCCAGATCACCGAGTACCGCGCCAGGTCTCAACCACCGCCGGATCTCAAGTGGGACGTCACCATCAGGAACTATCCAACGGAAGATTTACCGCCGCCACCGCCGGAATGGGAGAACTTCTCCGATGTTAGCTCGGCCTCTAATCTGACCATCACAAACGAGCCGACGAACCATCTCGCGGACGACGAGCCGGACGTGCACATCGAGCCGACTTACACCACGCGTGCCGAGATCCCGTGCCGGCCACCACCCGCTACGCGTCGTTCCCTCGACGACTCAGATGCCGATTGGTACACCAGGTTGGCGCGCGTCCTGGAGCCACGTTACGCTACCGAGTTGACGGACGAAGAGCGTGCCAAGTGGCGCGAAATCATCACGACGGAAAGCACGCTGCGGACCCTGCTGACCGAGGCAGTGGTTAAGGAGGACTACGAGCTGATACGCAAGGACGCGAGATATGTAAACTTGTTCCCGCCGGCGAAGTGGGATGTGATTATCCGAATCCTGAGTCCGCCGTCGACGCACACCGGCTCTACCTCGTCCTCCAGCCACGGCAAGAACCATGGACAGAGGTACAAGCGGTCTAAATCGTCGGAATGGGACACCAGATCCAGACGGTCCTCCCTTCCCACTTTGTACGAATACGAGAGTGACGGAGGCAGCTCGGCGCGCACCTTAGGCACCCAGAGTCATCATCTCCAGACGTCGCAGTCTGCCACGACTATGAGCGGACAGATCGTCGGCCGTCCACGCCGACTGGGCGGTTCTATTCGTTCGCGGGGTGCCGGAGTTGGCAGCGAGGCTGATCTGAGATCGATGTCCGAGATAACCGTCCGCGACTTCGCCCGGATGGACAGAGATGACCTGACCAGCTTGAGCTCCTTCGAAGGCGCGGACTCGCTGGTCAGATCGCTCAGCCAGCCCAGCCTGGCCAGATCGGGCTCGGAATTCACCGAGCATTGGGGCATGCCTTCCGGCAATCTGCCGCCGTGGGCGACCACGGAGGACGGCGTCAGCTCCGTGGAAACGACACCGAGGGCGATCAGGAGGGGCGACAGGCTGGAGGTCCTCGCCTCCTTCGACGAGCACAGACGGGGCCCGTCCATCACGAGATCGAGTCGATATACCGAAAGGGAGCTCAGCGTACGCGTGACGGAAAGTCAGAGGGCCTCGGACTGGTTTAACGACAACAGTTCCGAGCCAGAGATGCAGATCTGAGCGGTTTCCGAAACAGATCACAGATTCTCGAATCTGTCTTTACCTCGAATCCTTTGCGGAATTGACATTCCTGGATCTCGACGAAGGTCTGAACACAGTTACTAGGGATGAATGTCGATAATATGGGCAACACCGTATACCATTTGCACGAAATCAAACCTCGAGATCATCTTTTTGTAACTCTTTGAGCAGTGAATCTTTTAATATACAATAAAACTGGTTATTTGAACCGGTTAATTTCAATCGTGTCAATATTCAGCGCTATAAATAGCAAAAATACGAATTATATCAACAGATACAACAATTATATTCCGAAAAATCGACAATTTTTTAACAAATTCTGAATAGAGAATTAAAATTTCAATTCCGAGATTCTAGTAAATTTTAGATTTTAAATGTTTGAATATGAAAGATGTGTGCTGTTCAGAAAGTCAAAAGAATGCCGCAAACTGGAAGGAGATTCGTTGAACGATCAGTAGAGTTTTCATCTTGATCTTTTGCAACTTCCACGTTTTTTATTCTATCGCGAGCCACAATACGATGGATTATGATTTATATACCGGTATCGCTCGTATTTTTCTTATAGACACCATTTCGGTCGATGTCTACGTGACTCGCACATTACGAACGTATGCCGCGTTTGTTTTGCTCTCAACTCGGGACGTCCTATATGATCGATATCTTGCCAAGAATGAGGCGCAATGCACACACACACACACATACACAGCAGCAGCGACGGAATAACGTTCTGCAATTGTAAAATGCATTTTATTTGTAGCGGCTAGCCCGCCGCTTTCTTTCTTCCGTTCTCTTATTCGTCGGTTATACGTCGCTGCCCTACTTCCTTCATGACTCATGACCGTTCACTGCCGATTTCATCCTCGCGCCCGACAGCTCGAGGATTCACGCTCAACCGCGCAAATGCAGAATTGTCCCAATTTCGGGAATCCATCTCCGTCTCTCCGACGTCAAGATCTCGTATATCACGATATCCCGAAATTTGGGGAAATTCGGTCGCCACTCTCTTCACACGTCACTCGTAAAGCGAGACGCATATAGACCCGTGTTAGTTACCTGGTCTCGATCTCGGCACGAGTGGGTCTGCAGATTCTGGCAAAAGTACCCCGTTGTAAAATTATGCACAGTTCTAGGCAGAAATTAAGCCATTAAAGCCTATCTTAGTTGTCACTTTTTATATCGATAGTTGTATTCAAAGAATTATGCGCAACTTTTGTAATTCGCACGTTCCGTAAACTATAAAAAATTGTCAGAAATATTTCAAAAAAGGAAAAGTATACATGTCGAAAAAAATCTCCAAACTTCCCAAAATTATGGCTTCAATGGATTAATCGACAGGGTCAATCCCACAGGGAATAATTCAAGGAAAAAAATTTATACGATGGGAAACACAATAAATAATATAGCGTAATCATATATGAGAGGACTTGCTGTTCGCGCGACGCAGTCTGTCCTCAGCTTCCTAACGTTCGATAGATCGGGAGATCTCTCTTTCGGAGATCGTATAGGGGACAACACGTAGCTCTCACAACTAAAACACCCCCGTTTTGCGGTTAACTGCGATAATAGTCTACTTAAGTAGGTAACGAAACACACGGTGCTGGGTTATACGCTTCAAACAATAGCTAGAATTCTCTCTGCGAGAACATTTACCTAACCCCGTCCTCGCTCCTTCCTCCCCTCCCCCACCACTCTCCTCTTTTCAAGCAATCCTTCCGATTTAATGTATTTCGTCGGAGTATCTGGGCTCGGCCGAGATACGTATCGACCGACACGGTACGTTGGCGCGTATAGATAGGTACATTTGTAATTACGTATACGTTTATGGCTAATGTATATTTACACGTAATTTTTAAACTATGCGTATAGCTCTCTCCGCGCTATCCTCGTGCAGTCATTAGAAGCTTACGAAGTCCTGCGAATCCCTGAGCTGCAAGACGGGAGAGAGAGGGGAGGTATTTGGAACTTGCAGATTCCATTAATATATTATGGTGCGGCTATAGTTCTCGCGATCGTACGTAAATCGCTTCGAAATTTCCTCGTTCGCCTCGGCAATCTTTGATACTTTGCCACCAAGCAATGATATTATCCTTCGCTTTGCTTGCGTGTGCTTATTAAAATTATCAGACTCCAATCGCAAGCGTGGCAGATTGGAGTAATGTCAAACTTGGAGCTTATCTCTGGAGGGATATTTGCGCGAATGTTTAATGCAATAATATAAAGTGTCGCAAGTCGCAATGTAACAGTACCTATTCGTACATATAATCTCTTAGGGTATTCAAAATTCTCGATAGAAACTGTCTCTATTATTTTCGTGCAAATAAAATATACATTCGCCGTATACTGGCAGTTAACTGTGTGTTGTGTTATAATTTATAATTGTAATACAAAGTTAACGGTAATAATGGCAAAACGATTTATATTACTTGCTATTCGTACGCAATTTAGCGCGATCAATGACGTGTGAATAAAGAGCCCGTTTTTCGCATTCAATAGTTAAAACCTGAGATAATTGTTCGCAACGAAATAAATCTGTCCAAGAAATCGATATTACATAATATTACATTAAGCGCGTGGTTTTCTGCGAATTTTGTAGAGCACGGTGCGTAGAAAACAGTCACATTGTGAACGCTTTCTTTATATGTAATTGTAAATCAAAATCGATAATAAAGTTAATATGCATATATTAAAGAAGAAATACACCGGAAGGAATACCGAGACCGACGTTAAGCGCATACATGTAAATCGATGAATAAAACATAAAGTGCACATGAAAGGAATATTAAACGCGGACAATGGGGGTAATAAATCATATCGAGAAATTATATAACTCGTGTTATCAACGTCGAAGTTTTTATCTCGACGTCGGTAACATCGAGTTTTCATGATGTCTTCTAACAAAGAATCGCTGTCGCGTGCAGGATTCGATGTCGAAGAAAAACGAGAAGATGCCTGAGATAAGAGAAATTAATGAAACGCTTGTATTTAACTTGCGGAAATACGATTAACGTGAAATGGGAGTACTAAAGTGATATGCGTTGAAAGCTTTTATCGGATGGAATAACGCGCTATATTGTTATGAAATTAACGTAACTGATAACTCCTAGATGCCTTATCTATATACATATATTTTTATATCAAATTTTGTAACGGATGCAATTTGCATTTAGATCGTTCGATTTTCTCGACTCGGACGTGCCCGTGTAATATTTCAGCCGAGTGCTCGCGTAAGCGCGAGTGAAATGAGTGCTACTGGGAACGAGACAATGAAACTTGAGAATCAGATTGAAGGAGAACAGAGGGAATCGTCTCCTGGTGAAAAATGGCGATACTTTCGTTGTCATTGATCGATAAGCGGTGGATATATAAGACCGAACTAAATTACAACTCCTAATAAATACTGACAGTCCACGAACCGCGTGTTTAAGTGCGTTGTAAATCATGTAACTCTCGTCGTTTCATATTACTCTGCGGAAGATTAATTTACATGGCTCGATGTGTTGTCGAAGTTATGATAAAATAGCGCAAGTTCGACGGTAATCAGGCCCGCGCGAATATATGGAGAGTGTAATACGATCTTTGAGCGAATTCGGAGAGCATGGCTATATTAATAAAATTCATTACTAAAACCAGGTTTGTACTGTTATTTTTATTGCCAAAATATATAACAAACTCTGACTTTACCGGAGAAATCCAGCGTATCTGTACAGTGTCGTCTTGTTTGCAAAAGGGATTCTTGTTCCAATCTCAGAAGAGTATAGTTACTTTCTTCCGATATACGTAATGATTTTACTTAAGCAATATTAAATAGCACACCCGGCTAGATTGCCCGGAAAAACACAAAATTGTCTAAATTTCAATTTCAATAATTATGTATAAAATGCAATATAAAAATAGAATGCGTAGATTTCAGTTAAAATTGAACCTATGAAATATATTTTTCAAACATTCACACACACACACACACACACACATATGTATATACGTGGCACACATGCTCACGTTCACGCAAAATTTCGAATACTACTCAATAATATATATTCATCATGTCAAAGAGAAAGATATCGCGCGAGAAAAGTGAAAGGTAAGAAATAGCATTTGAAAGAATGCCGATGCAAGGCGTAGCATCTCTCATGATATAATCAGATTGATATCGCCTGCGAGAGAACTCATCCGGACTGCTCGCTCGGAACAATCGGGGAGTCGTCTAAATTAATTACGGGACGAGGAAAGAATTCCAAGGAGGAACGCAAAGAGGAACGCGGTGGATTCATTAAGATCGGCAGCAGCTCTGTGCGATCACGGCGAATGATCCTGAGGTCACATAAAAAAGAGAGACAGAAGGAGACAAAGGATGAAGAAGAGAGGGAGAGGGGAAGGGGAGACAGATCACATAAGAGTCTATAATTGCTTCGCGATGTCCTTTGATCGATCCCCCCAGTGGAAAAAGACGCGGTAAGGCGCGCCACCGGCCGTCTCGCTCGCTCTCGCAGATATATACGTGCTTGTTTTTCCGAAAACAAGTTCGTCCGTCCGAATGTCGCGTACGTACGTACGTACGTATACGTACTTTCCTTCTTCGACCATGCGGGGCGGATCGACGCATGCGTTTTTCTCGCGCGCCCGCGTACCCTTCGCGGGATTATCTTGGCCGTGAATCGAGCAGTCTTCCACGGTCGTTCCCGAGCTTGCTCCCGATCCACGAGGGCGCACGTTTTCCTCCTGAGAGGATCGCGCGACCGGACCGCTCTCGCGCGTCGAGCCTCGCTCGAGGACGCTCGAGGACCGCAGCAGCGTGCGGATCTCGGAAAGCCGCATTAATGCACACGCTGTGGCACGCGTCGTCTCGTACCTACATAACGCAATACATCGGTGGCAAAATGACTCCGAAAGGGGTTGGCGCGGTGCATTCGCGGGACACGTGTCGTTTAAAGGTAAGGCGAGAATCGTGATGTGAGACGTACGTTAAATGTCATTTTCCTACGAGTGAACCGCCGCGTTAACGAGTTTGATATATCGAACGAAAATTCGAGCACGTTGCGAGACGTGCGCGTTGACGTTGACGCGAACGCGATTTCTGTATTTGTCGCCTCGTTGTGTCTTATTGTTAAAGATTCGACGCACAGTGGGCCATCGTGCTCGTCACGCGTCGCAAACTAGTTACGTTTATTCAAAGTGTACTCGTTGCGAGATATTTTGCCAACGCGCGACGCAGGTGCCGCGTCTCAACTATTTAAAAGGATAGAATAGCTGCTTAAAGCGCATGCATGTTAATTATAAGTTATACGAGGTATACTGCACACACGGAAACTCTCTCGCAACACGGAGTTTCGTAGCGACGCCGACGTGTAATTGCATTCAAAGTTACCCGATGATTAATGACTAAAATTACCCACAAAGTATCTTAAACAATTTTCTTTTTAACGTGTAGTGTTCGATTCGGTCGATATTTATCTCGAGATTTGATGGCAATCAAAGTTCTTATTAGACCTTGTGCGATGGAAATAAAAGTTTTCATTAGATCTTATTTCTACAGAATTAATTCTATAGAATTACTTTCAGAGAGGCGTGTTAAGCTCAAGCAAAATGATCGCAATCAGGCCGCGGCTATGATTATTATTATTATTATCTTTATAACGCACACATGTGAAGCGTGTAAAAACTAAGTTTAACGATCAATAACAGCTTAATAATACGAACAGTGTCTCGTGCCGAAGCTGTAGGGCTGTAGGGCGTAAAAATTTTAATAGTAATTAAACTCTGACGCATTTGCATATTTAAATAGGAAGTTTCAATTAATTGCTATCATCAGTGTAACGACGATCACAAATAGCCAATCTATTTTCGCGTAACGCCAATTAAAATTCATTTATACAATCCACACATTTATACAATCCACAGTTTAATTAACAAGACATTTGACGTCGAGTGTTACAAGGTCGCAGCGAAACGATGGAATTTGGATTAATTTGGATAAATCGTCTCAGAGAAACGATTCGAACTCGAAATTTGACGTATCAATTATGGAAATTGAGATCGCGAATTCCGAAAGTTATCTTGCATTTCTGCGAATATTTAATTAAACGTAATACCCGCGCGTATTATTCCACGTGTTCACGGAAGAATAAATAGCGAAAAATAAAAAAAAAAATTGCTTCTTGGCGTAAAACTTGCGCCGGACTCCACGAGAATCCCCAGATGCGTGAGCTCGTGCATAACTGACGCGCAGTAAGGGCTCGTGCACGATTACTCGTTTAAAGGGTAGGCAATCGTTCACGCACGGGTAACTATATACGCGACACGTAGACGTTACGTTCTGCGTGCTCGAAACATGGAAGAGCTCGCGAATAATTTTCCGAGTTACGATCGCGATTCGCGTCGCGCCGTTTGCGCGAGTTCAACACTGTACCGAAATGACTGCAGACCGAGAATAACTTTGCGAATTTGTGAGACTATAAACCGGTTACTCTCAATTTCCTTCTTTCGCGACGGAGAACTTGCTCTTATTTAAAATAACATTTCATCACGTGAGTAAAGGAACACGATAAAGATCTTTCTTTAGTCCGAATAATTTTGAAAAAAATGATTCCGATGTTAATATAAAGTGTAATATTAAAAGTAAAAATTCTCTTCATAAACACAATGATTCCGACAGAAACGTGGACATAATATTAATGTTCATCAACGAGGTGCAACATGATCTTTCTTTTTTAGATCCAATAATCCGAACAAGGTGGTCCTCTGTCTTTCATTCTGTTAATATCTATCGTCAAAGAAAAGAGTGCGGTACGACAAAGAAATTCGAAGGCAAACCTAACAATTTCAACAGTAGAGATTTTTACCGTCAGATACCGGTATTCGCTATCAAAAAGAACCAAGGTGCGACGCACGGAAGATTCTCTCTCAACGATGATAATCGCAATACGGAGTGACAGCTTTCGCAGCATCCACTCCATACGCGACGACCGTTAATTGACTCGGTGAGGCGCGAGCGATAGTTTAATAGCCGCGCATTCGCGCGCGAACAGAGGCTATCGCGATGAGAAGGGGCGAAGGGAGAGAAAAGAGAGAGGATCCCACATGAGAAGAGGAGCATCTACGGCGAGGGATGACGACGTGTCTACGTGGGGTGCCGAGAAGCGATGGTGGGGCTAGATGGTGAGGCAAAGCGGCAACGGACGACGCGAGTTATGGTGGCGAACGACGCCGATGGATGGTGGGGTTGAAAAGCGGCGCGGCCAGTTACGGTCGTACGGGATAAGCCCATCGTGCACTTGCGATCAGTCGGGAGGGCGCGGAAAGTAGATTCGACGAGGATACCGGAACGGTCGTGTCGGAAGAACCGGAAGAACTCGCCGAGACGATGGCGCGCCGCTCTTGGCGGGATGCCGCGAAGACACCAAACGCGAGTACGGCGATACGAGTGGTCGAGGCCAACGATATCTCTCTCCGTGACGGATAGAGGGAATTCGATTAACGAACTTGGATCTCCGTCGACGAATTCTGCGAGCCACCTTTCGCCAAGAAACGAGGAAAGATCGCTCGTACGTCGATCGAACGGTGAGGAGGCCCCTTAAACGAAAAGTTTCGGAAAGTCTCGCGTGTAATTGAAAGGGGGATTCGTGTTTATCCCAGTTTGAGAAACTCGGGTTGGGATGCTGCCGCTTCCGCCGAGTGGAGTTGCCGAAGATCTTTTTGCGGAGAACCGGATCTGGCGAGGATAAACTTCCTCGTGGGAGGAGATTACGCCGGCTGAATGGGGAATCTTCTCCTTACGAAAAGGCTCGCTGCTCTCGGGAACGCACGACTGCTCGGTGGAAACTTTTCGCTGGCCGCGAATGTAAAAATCACGAGGATACGCACGAGCCGAAGCGTAAAGTGTCGCTCCGGTGATTTGTTTTTCGTCCGACGATCGAATAACATGGGGAACGGTCGCGTAGCCGAATCGTGAACAACATCGGCGTGACAGAGTGATATCGAAAATGAGTTCTCTACGACGGACGATCAATCAATCGGCGAAGGAGGGCTCGTCCATGCGAAGACACGCGCTCTCCGGTCCCACTACGAAGAGCATGAAAAACGTCGCTAATGCAAACGCGCTGCCCGCTTCGCCGATGCGATACAGGACCAAGTACGAGCTGCGAAGCATCAGTTTGGAGGGCAACAAGGTGCTACCATGGACCGCAAGGTAAGGGAAAGTTGGATTATTAACTTTCTTAGATAACAGACCTTTCCCGCATGCTCGTAGGTGTCTTTTGACCGTAACCACTAACGTACCTATGAATATCACAAAGGAAATTGCTTATTTTTATCTTTGTCTTCGATTTGAAAAATTATCGTTAAATAGCGATAACCAGTAATGCGCATAATTAAAATAAATGAAATTAATAATTATATAACATAAAATAAAACAATACTTCTTTTCTCTCGAAGAATGATATACGTAGAAATTAAATATATATTTTGTATTAAATAAAAAATAGGCATAAATTAAATATAATATTAAAAAAAAATTTATATAATTTAATGGATAAAGAAAAAAATAAGTTGTTGCTCTAATAAATCTTATCTGTGAATTATTCAAGAGTAGAAAAGATATTACGGCTTCGAAGAAAAACTTCGAAGAATAAGAAGTTAAAACTTTCAATCGTAATCCCAAGAACTGGCTTGCTTGATACGGTAGACTATACGGCGTGAGCTCGCGGAAGCGTGTATATCGTATAATGGTCTCTTCAGCTAAATCAATTTTGTGTGCTTCACCTTGAGTTGTCTTGTATTCGGAACAGATACTGCCGCGACTTGGGAGTTTAATAGTTCTGAGATTAAGACGTTAAAGACAGAATGAAACCACAAGCAAACCAATCAATCCGATATAAAGCCGAATAATCGCGGTCCTTGCAACTGGTTTACCGTCGCTGTCGCTCGCTGATATTGATTGATGAGGAAGAGGGTTTTGATCCCCCGCGACCGATACACACCACACACAAGTCCGCTTCCGCTTAATTATTTAATCGCAGAGACGAGACAAAGCTCTGAGACTTCCGCCCCGGAATTGCAGATCGCAAATGAATTGTTAATCGTCAAAGTTACGTTACGTTAAACATTGAAATTATTGCTTGGCTCGACAGTGATAAATTTATATTGTAACTTTTTTATTGCTACGTTCTCGTCGGTAAAACGACCATTAAAACAATGTTTTTTATAACATGTTTTATCGCGCTACGTTCTTAGTTACGTAGAAGTTTATGATTGAGGAGAAGATAATATTAGCTGTGTTATAATTGTTAAATAAAATTTTCTCATCCGTATTAACCGACAAGACACTTTCGTCCGATTTTTAAATTCCATTTTGCCTTGATTATTTCGTTCAATTACTTACGTGTGCGCTTAAAGATGGTACGATCGATATGATGTGAATAAGAGTTTGCAGAATGTTCGAAAGTACGTTCAAGAATATTCTGATCATAATATTATTGCTTCGATAAGGAATTCTTCCAAATTATTTTTTCTCATAACACAAACGTGTATATTCTCAAGTGACTGAAGTTTGCTTGGAAATTCGATAAAGAATTTTCAATACGTAATTATCAATATGTGTGAGATTACATTTTATTATTTTACTAAAAAATTATACAATACGTCGTATATTTTTAGAATTTTGCTCGACCTTGGCGTCGTCTGTTTTTTTATTCCTAAAACAAAATCATCGAACATCCGTGCAATAATACTGACGTTGCTAAACAATATACCGAAAGGAATTCGGCGGAAAGTTTTAATTAGTGAGCATTCGAGCGGATGATGACTTTAAAATTAGTTAATTAGTTTCGTAATCTCGATTGATCGGTATCGAATGGGACATTAGCCGTGCTTCTTAATTGAACCAACGTCAACCGATCGTGTGAATGTCATTAGGGCACGATAAAGCCGACTACGATAATCGGCAACGAGCGGGTGGATTGCAGTATGCAAAATCCGGGGCGGACGCTCTTTAATCTCCTGGACGACGACGTACGTAAATCTGCGATACAACGTGCATTAAACGGTTACGAGTGCGCGCTCATAACGCTGTACGATTTACGAGCGGCCGGTTGAAAATAATTTGAAGGGATCATACGTCTTGGAGAGAGGAAAGAGAGAGAGAGAGAGAGAGGGGGGGGACGATGCGCGACGCGGCGCGGCATCGCGCGAATTATTCTTGGCATATCGTTCGACTGCACGCGGCCAGGCACGTGCCAGATACGGTGTGCCGTAAAGATATACCGAAACGATAGACGGTCCCTTCCCTCGGGATCCACCCCATTATTTTTGATCAATTTGCAAAGTTAACGTCCAAAGACTATGTGCCGCGTTATCTCTCGGTCCGACGCGAGTGCGCGCGGAGTTCGCCGGGTTCGCATCTCCGACATCGATTTTTAATATGCCAGCTACAAGCGCATTAATTAGCTCCTCTTAACGACCGGAGCGTGTCTGAATTAATTCCGCGTCGGAACGTTTTCCTGATGTAATCGAGTGGCGATGTCGCATTTTCGATTGTTACGTTTAATATGCTACGTAATCTTCGATTTATCTCCTAAGTAGAAAGAAAGATAGCAGTTAAGGAAGAAAGGAGAAAACTATTCGCGATGCTGTATTCCCGGAAAAGGAGATATCAAAAGTCAAACACCAATTTTCGAGTATTGAAAAAGCGTATACAGTTCCACGTAATGAATAGCGAGATATAGGAACAAAAAGAAATATCGTTAACAAATTTTGTTATTAAATTTAATACTGATGAATATTCAACAGTGATCCGATTCGTTATTGCGGTGTAATTAGCTATAATTGATGTAATTAGCTATATAATTTACAATAATGTTTTATGATTCATGTTTATTCATTTGCGCCTGATGGACATATTACAATTAGGATATAACATTGCGAAATCACAGTGACAAGATATTCCCTCGCTCTGTCCCAGCAAATTATATTATACTATTTTCGACTATTGTGTTATGACACGAGATCGTGTCGTACCTGAATCGTTCAAAATTTAATTGCTTTATCCGGCAACGAGGCGTTCAAGCGAGAGACACCGCCTTCTTTACGATCCACTTCGTTTCGCCCGTGGGAGATAATGAGATTAACCCTCCCTGCAAAGACGCGTAAACTACCGAATAGGTAGAAAGCAGGTATATGTTTCGCCGTAAAAGGTTCCTCCTGGCGTCACAATGTTATAATGTCAGCGGAAAGAATTCCTTTCGCGTTCGTGCGCTAATTACACATTTCTGATATTATAATCCCGTGCAAGGATATCGTGGAAACACTGAAAAAACTCGACTCATCGAAATTCCATTAAAAGTTCCTCGATCGATAGACTTGACAGCTTCGAAAATGTTCCCCTATTATACTGAGACATCGATTCGTTGCATTATTGTCTAGAGAGTTATTTCTTAGTGTGCTTTGAGAAAAAAACGCTTTGTTGTAAAGTAAAGCATAATAAAGATATCGAAGCAAAGAAAGAAATAAATCTAAAATAAAATCCATGTGTGTATGTTCACTTTATGTCAACATTATCGTTATGTTAACGGTACAATTTTTAAATACGTAAAATTTTTATATACGTTTTTCATTTAAATAACTAAAATTAAGTGTACGAGTATTATCTTTCGATGAGAATCTTCGCGGAGCCATGTCAGCAGTCGATAAAGTATTAGTTGAAGAAGAAACTGGTCTAGCGGCAACCCCATTACTGATATTAATCCGAGAGGAATTATGGCAGCGGCAACAACAACAACGCGATATTGCCGGCGAGTGGCTCCGCGATATCGGATTTCGGTGCCTCGCTCTTTATAATTAACCCTTTTGCTATTGGACTCTGGGCCGAGTGTCCGCTGCCGCTCTTTTGTGTCAAGCCGATCAATCTCGATCACGCTCGACCGAGTGGAAGTCGACCGCGGCATCTCTCGATCGAACCTGGGGGCACCGGGGCGAGGCGGAAATATGGAGCACATAAGGGAAGCGAGATGAGGCGGCGGCGAAGGGCGAAGGGGGCGAGAAGGGAGCGGGGGAAAAAATCCGCGAGGAAAAACGGCATTACACGGTCAGCCAGGCGGAGAGAGTCGGTATCGGGTACGTTAAGCCGACGGTATTATATAGTCGCGGAAGAACTCGGGTGTTTTCGATGACCCCTGTCCGCGAGTATATCGTTCAATTACGTCACCGCGCTACTGGCCCGCATTCGAAAGCACGGTATATCGATTTTGCCGATGCATAACAAGACTTTCGTAGGTAGCGACGACGCGCCGCACCGTCCTGGCCGTCGCTAGATGGAGGATACTGAGAATCCCGATGCTTTGACACGCGAGTTAATATGCCCTTCGACGAAGCTACTTGATGAGTAGCCTCAATGACTCCGGGTCGTTAACCCTTTCGGCCGATGAGGCTTTAAATATAGGCTTTACACGCGAGCGTGATATGCAATTACTCGCATTAATATTCGAACACCATGATTTTTGAGAGATTTATTACTTTTTAAACACAATTTTTGTCGGAATAAAGATTTCTTGAATTTTTTAATAAAATGAACATTTATTATAGTCGCCAGAAACGTAAATTTTATTTATTTAATTAATACAGTTTTAAATTTAACATATTAAATGAGTTTTAAACAGTAAATGAGATTATGCTTAATTCTGATATTGCAAAAATATTCGGACACTCAACGAAACATAATAATATAAATATTTATATTAACGAGATAATAATAATAATTTAGTATTTTGTTGAATAACTTTTTTGTTTAATACCATGCTACAAACATTTGGGCATGTTAGAAATAATTTCAGAGTATTATCAATGAATCTCATAAATAGGATTTCAATCTGGCGACTGTGGTGGAGGATGTTATACCTAGCAATTATATAGATAATAAGTATTCTTAAATTCTCAATATTCTTCGCAATTTATATTTTCCACCGTCCTGGATCATTATTTATTTATTTATTTATGTGTAAATAGGATTCAGAGAGGTCTCTTTAGTACGCATAGTAAAATTATAATTGTAACATCAGCAAGAGACGCAGAATAAAGTGCTGAAAAGAAGAATACAAAAATAACAAATTTACCACTTACGGTACAAAACAGATAAGATCTAACGAAGACAGTAAAGTATTGATCGTTTAAAAGTTTAAGAGATGTTTGAAAAAAGTC